CACCTGTGTCCAAATCTATAGGCAGGGCTACAGACGGGAGCAGAAGCTAGTTTTCCTCAGGGATAAGGTAACTCCACGGCACTGTTTCAGCCTGGGATGAATCACCAGGGCACTCGTGAATCTCTATCTTCATGCCGCCTTGACTCATCTTGTCCAAGTCAAAGAGCAGAGTTTCACATTGTGGTTCACAGGCCTCCTGCATCAGAATCACCTAAGTTGCAGATTCCAGCTCCCCATCTCAGATCCACAGAACTGACTCCTGGGTGTGTTACATGACGTTGAGTCAGCTCTGAGTCCTGGTGACCCTATGAATAAGTGATGTTCACAATGTCCTGTCCTCAACAGCCCTGCTCAGCAAATACAGACTCATGCCTATGGCTTCTTTGATGGAGTCAGTCTGTCTCTTTAGTCTTTCTCTTTTCCTGCTGCCTTCTATTTTTCCCAGCATTAATGTCTTTTCCAAAGAACCCTGCTTTCTCATGATGTCCCTGCAGTAGAAGAGCTCCAGTTTTGTCATTTTTTGCCTCCAGCAATGTTTCAGGCTTAATGTGCTCTAGGATCCACTTGTTCATCTTTCTGGAGGTCCAGGGTATCTGTAGAGCTCTCACCACCATATTTCCAATCAGTCATTTTCCTATCAGCCTTCTTCACTGTCCAACTTTCACATCGATACATAGTAATTGAGGATATGAGGGTGTGGATGTTAACCTTGGTCTCTAATGACATATCTTCGTGGTGATCCTTCCTAATTCTTCCATTGCTGCCCTTCGAGTCTCGGCCTTCTTGAGTTCTTGGCTACAGTCCCCATTTTAATTGATATTTGAACAAAGTAAGCAAAATCTTTAACAATTTCGATAACTTCACTGTTAAAGTTGTGTATTCCTTCTGTTGTCATGAGTTTTGTCTTCTTGATGTTCAAATGCAAGTCCTGCTTTGGCACTTTCTTCTCACTTTCATCAGAAGTCATTCAAACCATTGCTACTTTCTGCCGTAAGATGGTGTCATCTGCGTATCTTAAGTTATTGTAATTCTTCCACCAATTTTCATTCCTCATTCCTCTGAATCTAGCCCAGTTTTTAGTATGTTATGTTCTATGTACAGATTAAACAGGGAGATAAAATTCACCCAATCTGTCACTTTTGCCTATAGGAAACCATTCTCTCTCTCTCTACTCTGTCCTGACAATGGCTTCCTGCCCACAATACCAGTTACACATCAGGACAATCAAATGCTAAGGCATACCCGTTTCTTTCAGAGCAACCCACAGACTCCTAAGTGCAGGGTCCCAAATCTGCATTTTGAATGAGTTTACACTAAAGTTTCAGGGTCACTGTATCACTCACACGATGGCCATCAATGACACTTTCCATGCAGCCCACAGCATACCCACTCCCTGCCATGATAGGCACTATTGGTGCCAGGGGAGAGGCAGATTCTCCCACTCTGGTGTTTCCTTGTGTGTAGAGGATGACATCCATTAAGGATTAGAGAGTAAAATCTTTAGGACCAGCTCTGACTTCTATTCACTGTGCCTGGAATGCCCTTGGTGCCCTAACCAATCACTAAACTCTTACTACTATTTAAAAACCTACCTCAGGCACCTCTTGGTAAAGCCTTCTTTAAAGCACCGTCCCACCCTCCTGCCCTGGGGGATTTGATTAGTCCCTCCTCTCTGGCGCCTCTGTACCCATAGGTATTTGCTGCTGCACAGACCACCCTCATTTGCAATGATCTGCCTCCCTTTCTAGACATGAGTTCCTCAAGATCAGAAACATCATCTTATTGATCCTGGTGACTCCAAAATGCCTGGTTCACAGCAGGTACTCAATAAATTCTGAATGGCGGGAAGGTAGGGGACCGTCTTCATGAACATGTTACATCAGAGCATATAAAGACTGAACATAGCCAAAGGTCCAAAGCCAAACACAGCAAGTGGCAGCACAGAGAGGCAGTGAAGAGCGCAGGCTTTGGGAGTGTAACAGACAGACTTGGGCTTGACCCCTGACTCTGACACGTCCTAACTATGGAGGTCAGAGTCAGCCTCCATAAGGCACCAGTAACAGTCAAGGCCTCCTCGCTGAGCTGTTCCAGGGATTGGACATGATAACACATAGAAAGACCAAGCTTGGCATCTGGCACACAGTAAGCACTCAACAGATGCAGAATTTAGCTGCTACTATTATTATTATGTTGCGGTCGTCATGATTGGGGCCCTAATCAACATTATTACTAAATTATACATGGAATATTCTCAGACTTAGAAAGGAGAGTTCACGCTGGATCCATTCATGAAAAGAGGACTTCATGGGACGAGTTATGGAGCCATCCAGAGAAGCCAGAGCAGGAAGTGGAAAGTCTGGGCTTAGCTGGGTAATCTTGAGCAAGTTAGTTCACCTCAGTTTTATCAACCATAAAAAGGGAGCAGCAATTGAACCATAATGTTTTAGTACCTACCTATTATGGTGTTATTAGGAGGAATAAACAAGTAAAAAGACAGATACATAAAATGGCAGTTTCTACATATGGTACTATTATTGTTTCCATCATATCCTTCGTTAACTAATCTATGAAAAAAATTCTAGTAACTACGAGGAGGTCCTTACAGACAAAACCAGAGGAAAGAGCAGGGTAGTAAGTCCTGTAAAGAAGATTCTAGGAGCTCCCACATGTGGTGCATGGCCTACAAACCTGATTCTATGTGAAGGGCTTCAGGTGACCCTCATACTCATAGTAACCTGGGGACATGAAAATTGTAATCACCACTGCACAGGCCGGTCGGCAACTGAGGGACATTTAGAAGCTCGCCCGCAGCCAAATGGCCAGGAGGCACAGTGTGAGAGTTCCACCTGTTCCATGGCTCCATGGCCCAACACCTGCTGTTCTTAGCCTTTTTCAGTGGAGCTATTCTGCTGGGTATATAGTGATGTTGTACTGGGGTTTTATTCTATATAATAAAAGGCTAATATGCAAATAGACCGGATGGCAGAACAACCGGAACAATCAATTGCTATGATATGTGCTGACCACGAGGGGGCGTGTGTGGAACATGGCGGGTGTTGGCCACGGTGGGATGGTAGAGCAGGTGAGCGGGGGCACCAGACCAAGGCAGGGCACCAGTTGCTGTCATCAGGGCGAGCCTCTGGTGGTTACTGAAAACTCTTTGCTCCTACGCACCACGGTCCCTCCTGGCACTCGCACCCGCTGCCGGTGCCAGCTCTGCTCACACCCGCTGCCGGTGCCTGGTGCTGGTTCCCATCACTAGGCGCCATCAGCGGGTGCGAGCAGCGGCTGCTGGCCCTGATCACCCCTGAGGGCTTCTCCACCTCTCCTTGCTGCTGAGGGGCGATCGGGGCAGCAGCTGCTGCTCACACCCGCTGCTGGCGCCAGCCCCAATCACTCCACGCCGTCAATGGGTGTGAATGGGGCCAGCGCTCTGGGCGGGGGCATGGAGGATGGGCTGAGACCCTCCCCTGTGCCTATAGCAGCCTCACGGCCCACAGTTCCTTTCAAGGTATACGAATTCATGCACTGGGCCCCTCGTTGTATAATAATTGAAGTTGAATATCTTTTCACATATTCAAGGCTATTTGAATATCTTTTGCAAAGTACCTGTGCAAGTCTTCCTCTTGTCCATTTTTAAAATTACGTAGAGTACCTTTTTCTTATTTATTTGATGGAATTCTTTATATATTCTGAGCACAAATCCTATATTGGATATACACGTGACAAATATTTTCTCTAAATGTAGCTTGCCTCTTTACTCTCTTTACAGTTGTCTTTTGATGAGCAAATATTCTTAATTTTAATGTGAAAGGCATTCCCTTGGATAATGCTTTTTGTGTCAAGCTTAAGAAATCCTTACCTACCCCAAAGGTCATGAAGAAATGCTGTGTTCTTCCCAAAAAAAGCTAGTTTTCCCTTTCACATTTCGACTTACATTATATCTGAAACTGATCTTCGTGTGTGGCGTGAGAC